GTTATTATTTATCATTTAAAAAATAATTCTAATTTATTTCTATGCTTTTCTATCTTTTAGGTCATTTCCCAACAACTACTGGGACAAATTTGTTAAAAGAAAGGTAATATTTCTTAGAAGGAATAAATTCTCTGTATTTTTCTTAAAGTGCAATTCAGATTTGAATTTGTTGTGGTTTAGATGTAAAATAAGATAGATACTGAATGTGCTTTATCTGCATGTTAATGTTATTTCAAAATCGCAACAGAATTGAATTTGAATTTCAAGAATAGCACATAAGAAATCCACACTCCACAAGCCCCAAATAAATAGGCATGGCTTCATTCCCCGTCCTCACTCAGCTAGATAAACAGTGCTCAGTCCACAACATTAACAATTATTGGCAAGAACTTTCTTTGAAATTGTTTGGGTAACCTAAGCTGACTAAAGGCTATTTTCCGGTAAGACAGTTGATAAATCACTAGCACTGGTATCCTCTTTTGCATTAAAGAAATAAAGTTGTTGGATAACAACAAAGGACTGAATTTTGTTTATTTTATATAACTTTAAAGACTTTTTTAATGGAACCTTATTCTTCTGATGCTGACAGCATCAGGAGGTGACAGAAAGAACACTGAAATGGACTTCAGGCATCTACGGTGGCACAACCTGAGGCTCTGCTCTTGAGAGCTTCTAACCCGAGGGTCAAGATCATTTCTGCCCTACTTACTACACAGAATTTTAATGTGGACCCCATTTTTCATGAATGAAATAATTTATGTAACAGTGCTTGTACATTGCAAAATGCTATAATCATTATTTTGTAGCTCCTTACTCATTTCTTGAACTGCTCTAATTGCCAGGCTAACTCAATTCAAACACATTTCATAATGAATTCCAGTGTACACCATTTAGAGTCCACTAATGGTCAGAATGGCCAGATGTACATGCCAAATAAACCCTCTGGTTCCACCAGTTCAGTGCTACTCAAAGGATGGTTGGCAACTGGTTGCCGAAAAGTTTTGTTGCCAGTCTGAGCAGAGATATAGAGCTTGCTCCAAGAATTTAAATCAGCTACATCATTAATCACATTGACTATACGTATATACATACAAACACGTATAGATGTGTGCATATATATGTATGTATACATCTCAATACTTTTTAGTTGAAAGAAGCGGTATGTCTTTGATTTTTTTTTCCTTGGTGCAAGATTCTGTCCCCTTGTGACTCGGCATTTTGAGTAGAATTGACTAGTACATCTGAGCGTATCCAGATTAGGCAAAAGCTTTGAAAGAATAATTTTAAAATAATTTTAAATAGATAATTCGAACATTTATTCCTATTAATTATTTAATGGAATAAAGAGGAAGCTTCTGAATTATTAAAGCAAGAGTTTCTCTGAAGGAAATTATGTATTTATAGTCAATTAAATAGATAAACTGTAATGGCAGTGAAGCCTGTTCCTGGCTTTGCTACTCTAGGACCCAGTTTGTCCTGCAGGGAATGGGAGTGAGAACACAGCCCATGGAGAACTCCCACTCAGACCAGCCCAGACCATTTTTATCAAATGCAAAACAAATGGTTTTAATAAACCCCAATAGTATATGTTCATAGGCTTTCTAACTACCATAGCTCTTATATGTTTCCTTTAATTCACCTGGTTGTATATATCCAATTTTTATTTCTGCTAGTTCTTTCCTTCTTTCTCTTTATGTATTTCTTTCTTAATTTGCTCTCATCTCTAACTTTGACATTGTGTCAGCTCCTTTCTGCTTTCTCATTCCTCGTTTCTCTCTTGCTCTTCCTCTTTTCCCTTTTTGCTACCAATGATCTCTCCTCCTGCTTTTCTTTCATTGCTTTTCCTGTTGCCTCCATTCTCATCGCTGTGTGGACTGGCGAGTTGTATGGACTGCAGGGCAAGAGGAGCTGTATCCCAGGTTGGATGTCATGTCCAAGCATTGATCTAAAAACACAACAAATGGGCAAAGCCAGGCAAATGCAACAGAAGGAGCGGTGGGCAAGGAGACGAAGTGGGGTTGTTAGGAGACGATTCTAATGATGGACACCAACATCTCTACTAGATAAGAATTAAAATGAGGACAGTGATGTGGTTTCAGGTCCGGGTGTGACGGAAGAATTGCTGGAGTCAGGCTACTAAGGGGAGTGAGGTGGAAAGATGGGGGCTGTGGCTGGAGAGTTGAATGGTTGAAGGTGATAACCGTGGAGAGATGCCATCCTGTGACATCCCGCTTGGTGTTGCACAGAAGCCTGTGCAGAAGGTCACTGGCTGGGGTATCAGGCATGACCCAGATGCTTTCTGACCCCATCTCTTGTTAAGTTTAGCAACCTTGGGTGAGTTAAATGAAGTTTTCTAGGACACAGTTTATCTGCAGAGTGGGATGGTAATAATATGAAACTTACGTATTGTAACAATCACATGGAATAAAGCATAATTCCTGGCATAACATATGAACTTGGAAAAGGTCACTTTCGTTCCATTTCCTCACATTTCTCACACTTCCGCTCATCATCTTCCTTTTGTGTGTCTCCCTCTCTTTAATGAGAAACCTGGTTCCTCAGATAGGTATTCTTTAAAAAGCTATCAATTAGCTTAGACCTTAAGCAGTGCGATCATAGAATAAGAGCCATAAAGTAGATTTTTATGTGATCTTTAAAATAGAGCAACTATACAGTAAGTATAAAAATAATTAGATGTCTGTATACACACACATAGCTGATGTTACGTAGTGGTTGAAACCAACAAAATGCTTTTTTTCCCTTGACCCTCAGGTTATGGATAAATATGGAGAGTTCTACGGCCGAGATAGAATCAGCGAATTACTGGGCATGGACAAAGCGGCTCTGGACTTCAGCGACGCCAGAGAGAAGAAGAAGCCAAAGAAAGACAGTTCCTTATCAGCTGTGTGAGTGTGACTTCTGCTCTGTCCCACAGGTTTAGGTTGCAAGAAGAAAAAATTAATATATTCCTGAACTTGCTAGTGCATTAATTTCCTTCCCTTCAATGTCAGAGGAACAGACAGATGAGGAAAACAGAGAAGGTATAAAAAGTTTACTTTTATGCTTCTGAGTATTTGGAGCTATGAAATGATTGGATTTTTTTCTATTAGTTTTTGAAGGTGCCTTTTTTTGTTATCTACATAGAGCAAGAGGAAAGAAAGAATATTCATGTTTTTGTTCTTGATTTAATTTGCCTTTTCTATCCTCAAATGCCCCTTAAGTCAAAGTAAAATACATGCAAAAGCACAATATATGACTATGGTTTCTGATGCTTCCTGTCTGAAAAGAAGTTAATTTTCATGTTTTAGAAGAGGGAACTGTGTAGCTCTATTATTAAAAATATTCAAAATTCATATCCTTTTATTATAGTCATTGTATTTTTTAATAGCAAAGACATAGTATGCCTGAAATACTATACCTTTATACTATTACTTTGAAAGTTTACTTCAAAATGAAGCACTCTTTATAGAGTGCTTTCCTGGCATAATATGTTGTAATTAGAAGAATGTAAAAACAGTTGAATTGAATCCACCTGAGATTGACTATCATGCACACATATACACATACACACACACATAAATGTCTAGTGTGAGTGATGTATATATACATATATATATTTTTTTAACAAATTTGATCAACTTAATTTCTCTAATACAAGTAAAGCATTCATGTTTTTAAAAATATAATTTCTTATTGTAGCCACTTAATAATTTTGGAAGAAACATAATACTTTCCCTTAAAAACATGTCAGCCTTTTTAGTCTGTGTATTTATAGTCACAGTCAATTAGGGATGTGATGATTACTTTGAAAATATAGATATTTATGGTTCTATGAGCAGTGTTATTTTGTCTTAGATAAATATATTAGCTAGCATTAAAAAGTTATTTTGTCTGGCCTATCTTATTGGTCATACACTTTTTACCTATTGGAAAACTTGTTTAAGCTACTTGAGTTTTAAAACTAGTGTGAAACTCAGTTGAAAAGTAGTTAGATAAAGAAATATGAACTTAGGTCAAAAATACTACTTGGTTACTTTAGGAAAACAAATGTATTTAAAGACTGTGTCACCGTGTGTAAGATGAAATGCAGATTGACAACCCTTAGGAACTAAGGTCCTTATGTTGGAATATCACATAAAACCAAGACTATGGTGTGAGTGATGCTGAGTTGTCCACAGACATTTTCAGATCTTTGATAAGCAACGTAGAGTTAAATAGTTTTACTGAATTCTGAATTTTCCGTGGTCACGTTTGTGACTCTAGAAAAAAACTATGAACAGGAAAGTTTTAGACTGTTTTTTACTATGAACAAATAGTTTTTTAAATTGGTGAAACTTTCCACTGTTTTACATAGTAAATGTTTGCAAGTTTGACCTCTAGCAAAGTATTAAGAAATTAATGTCATTTATTAACACCTTTAAATATGGACAATAAAATTAGAAGAATAAAGATCTAATAAATAATATACATTGCTAGGAAAAAATTTACATGTAATGTCTCTACACTAAAGTATTTAGAAAGGTCAGGTTTTAAAAGTTTTCTGGCTTCTATATGAATGTTATCTTAATGTGAACATTCAGATACAAGGACGATTCATGTATGTATTTATCAATCAAACACATAGGCTTAGTATGCTTACATTTAAATAAGTGGCTAGCTCCCTTCCTGGGGGTGGAATGGCTGCCAGCAACTAGAAAGTCTGCATACTGTTCATTTGTGTCCGACCTCCCTCCTCATGGCAAGCAATCTAGTTTTAGGATATCCCCTTGGCCAACAGGGGGGTTCCATTCAGTCAGCCAGTTGGGGGGAACCTTAAGATTTTATTTTAGTTCACATTAGTTGTAAAATAAATGTGTACATTTATGCTAGTTTTTATTATTATTTGAACCAAAAAAAATTATTCTGTTGGAATGCAATTACAAATGTATAATGAAAGTGAGGAAATTTTTGACGTATACGTGTTGGTTAATTTAGTATTTTCTAGGAATAAACGTCATATATAAGGTGAGTTTAGCTTATATTGAATATTGGAAAGGAAAAAAGTAAAAAAGAAAGAACTGTTCTTTCTTTGATGATGAAGGTGGTGATATTTTGTTTTGTTTTGTTTTCTTAGATCATCTGAAAAAGTATCATAAAACTCTAGAATACAGTGTCAGAGCTTCCCTTGGCACCTGGGATACAATTAGTCTCCAGGGAAAGTTTCCAGTCCTGTCCCGTGGAAACTGAATGCTGTCAGGCTCTCACAGCCTCTGAGTCTTTGATGAGTGTGCATATATCTACACAGTCTTCTTTTTTGTCATTCCAGACTGAACTCTATTGATGTGAAGTATCAGATGTGGAAACTTGGAGTCGTTTTCACTGACAACGTAAGCCTACTTCATTAACACAAAGAAAATGCACTCTGATTAGAGGAGAGTGTGGGAGTTCTGCAGATGGAAAGACGGTTAAGAAAGTTATTCAGATATGAACTCATTTCATTCAGACTCTATCTGAGAGAGACCCATGGAAAGATACGATTAGCCAGCCCATCTCTCATTCCATTTCTTTCAATAGAAAATATATTTACACAAGAAAAAGAAGCTAAGATGCAAATTCATATGTATTTTCATTCAGGTTTTAATTGGGCAGATGGCATACTGCAAAGTTTCATAGATGTTAAAAAGAAACCACTACTAAATAAATTTTAAACATTAATTGTGCTAAATTTAAGTTTCCCTCTATTTAAGTACATCAAATTATTGAGTTATTTTTCTTGATTGAGCCTTCTTTTACCAAAGAGCCTTGGAAACTAAACATAGGGCTTAAATATATATCAAAATATAATGGGGGAAAAAATCACCCATTACTAAAAACCGTCAGCTCAAGATTTCAGTCTCTAATTCTAGCACTAACTTCTATAGTGAACGTTAGTTCCATTCTCCTATTTAAAGGTCTGTGACACCCCCCCAAATCCTCCTGCCCCTGTCTCCCATGCCTGCCCCACCCAGCCATGGCCCAGAACTTTGCGTATCTTAGAGAATCCTCCTAAGAGCTCAAAATCATGTCTTAAAAGTATCTTTTAGAATCATAAACTATATATATATATATCTTGCAACTACTTTCTCATCTAATAATGGAAGCCACTCCCCTGAATAGAAAGGAGGCAACCTCAACTCCTGCTCTAGTTGGTCTTTTCCACGTAAGGAGCCAGGGCATCTTGCTTCTGCCTGCTAGGGGCAGTCTTCCATGCCACAGTCCTTGCACGGCCCACTTTTGCCCAGATGCAGCCTGTCTATGGTATTCACCTTGCTGTGGAGTTTCTTGTCCTCCAGAGAATTTGGGCATGGGTAGACCTGGAGGAAGTCTGAAGAACCTTCTTCAAACATCTTCCTTGTTAGGCTTTTTTTTCCACCTGCAGTTTTGTGGCTTCCCTTTGGCCAGTCACCTCTCCATGTGTATTCAGTCTTCAATAGTACAGTTTCTCTCTGAAACACAGCTAGGGTTAGCAGATTAAATATAGAATTCTTGATTAAATTTAAATTTCAGATAACCAAAAAGTAACACATTTTAGCATAATCATGTCCCAAATACTGCATGGAACATACTTATACTAAAAATTATTAATTCTTTATCTCTCATTCAAATTTAACTGGGTAACGTATGTATAGAATCCACACACACACCCTGGACCCAGCTTGCTGCCCAGGGGCATTTCCTTATTCATTATATGCCCATAAAGTTTCCTTTTTCCTCAGCCTTTGCATTTCTTAATAGCCTGCTAGCTGCCTACATCTGAATGTCCCATAGCAAACTCGCCATCCTCCTTTTCCTCCATTCCTTCCCACCAAATCCAGTGCCCTATCTACAATTTTCTCTTTCCGTTAGTATTTTTGTTCTTCTTGTTATCTGAGCTTAAATTATTAGCATGGACTCCTCCTTTTCCTTCTCCCTCCAGTGCACATATTTATTTGCCTAATCTTGGTCCCATTTCTGTCCTCTGTAATTCTCCCTTCTAGCCTTACCAATTTTACTCCTCAACATGGCTCTCAGAACCTCACCCTGGGGCTCAGTAGGCTGAGCACAGTGGCTCACACCTATATAATCCCAGCACTTTGGGAGGCCATGGCAGGAGGATCGTTTGAGGCCAAGAGTTTAAGACCAGCCTGAACAACATAGCAAGACCTCATCTCTACAAAAAATAGAAAAATTAGCCAGGTGTGGTGGCACACACCTATAGGCTCAGCTACTTGAGAGACTGAGGCAGGAGGATTTCTTGAACCTAGGAGTTTGAGATTTCAGTGATCTATAATGACCCCACCATACTGTAGCCCAGGTAACAGATTGAGACCCTGTCTCAAAAGAAAAAAAAAAAAATCATTAAAAAAAGGCTGAGTGCAGTGGCTCATACCTGTAATCCCAAGCACTTTGGGAGGCCAATGCGAGAGGATCGCTTGAGCCCAGGAGTTTGAGACCAACCTGGGCAACATAGCAAGACCCCATCTGTACCAACATAAATAAATAATCCAAAAGTGAGAGCAATCACAGTATTTTTGTTCTGCTTTATTCACTGCCCCCCAAAAGTATATATATTTTCTAGCCTATATGAAGTTAACCACTTCTATTAATTATAATCCAGTATATTTCTACAAATAGTATTAATTGTATTACCAGGTTTACTGTAGTTTTCAGTGATATCAAATACTATTTGGGTTTTTTTCTAGACCTACTCATGTGAAGTTAATAAAACTTTGTTTTATAAACCAATTTTTGGTTTGGTTTTGGTTAATAGAACACCTCATATAATCTCCACTAATTAGTAGGTCTCAGCAGACACTGATTTAATGAGTGAATAAATGAAAATCAAAGTAGGGAAGCAAAGGAGGCAGGGAAAGTTGGTTGGTTCTTTGGTTGACTGTAGAACACATGTTCTCTACTGGGGACAATTTGGCCCCCCAGGTGACATTTGGCAATGTCTGGAGCCATTTTTGGTTGTCCCAACTAGTGGGGAGAGCAGGGCCATTGCATCTAGTAGATGCTGCTAACCATCCTACAACACACACGACAGCCCGCACAACAAAGAGTTATCCGATCCAAAATACCAGTTGTGCCAAGGTTGAGAAATTCTGCTGTCAAGTATTAAATCTGTAAATTTTTCTCTATGGAAGGATAAACATGGACAGTTACCATTTTAAAGGAGAAAATAACATTGAACTTTTTAGAACTAACTAAATAAAAATAAAACACACAGAGAACAAGCTGATATAGCTAATTAGAATCATGAAAACTTACGGTCTAAGAAGATGAAGTAAATGGAGTGAATATAATAGAATGAAATCAGAATTGCTTTATTGGTTTAATTAATTTTATTTTTTAATTGACAAGTACTAATTGTACATACTTACGAGGTACACAGTGATGCTTCCATATATATAATGTATAGTGATCAGATCAGGGTAATTAACATATCTATTATCTCACATATTATTTCTTTGTGTTAGGAACATTCAATATCCTCCTACTTATTTAAAACTATATGTTACTGCTAACTGTAGTTATCTTACCATGGTACAGAACCCTAGAATTTATTCCTCCTATCTAGCTGTAATCTTGTATCCTTTAACAAATATCTCCCTATCCCTCCCTTCCCCCTCCTCTTCCCAGCCTCTAGTATTCTCTCTTCTACTTTTTACTTCTATACGATCAACTGTTTTTAGCTTCCGCATGTAAGTCAAGACATGTGGTGTTTAACTTTCTATTCCTGGCTTATTTAGCTTGACATAGGACAACAGTCATGTGTTGTTTTCTGATATGTCTTCCCCTTGTTTTGTCTTAATAGTCCTTCCTCTACCTAGCCTGGTATATGACCATGTCCGTACTTGGACACTATAACAACTTTTTTTTTGCTGCTCATCTTCTTGACATTGCTATGGGATTCAAGACCTTGAGAACCATCTTGTCCTCAGTAACTCACAATGGCAAACAGGTAACAGTTTATCTTTTTGTTCCCCCTTGCAGAAACTAAAAAACCAACAAAGAAAGCCAACAAAAATAAAATCAACCCTCAAGAGACAATGTACAGTTATAGAGATTTATTTGAAGAGAGGATCTGCACACTCTTCTAAACCATGGGGATTACTAGTTTAGAGACCCTTAGCCAACTACATTCAAGTCTTGGCTTGACCTTGGATAAATTAATTAATGCTTCTAAATCTCAATTTCCTTATTTCATAAAAATAATAAAAGTACATTTAAAATATAGGAAAAAAAGAAAAGAAAAAATCCACATTCCAACCACCAGTAGCATACTATTAATACTTTCAGCATTTGGGTGATTATGTGTGTGTGTGTGCATGTTTAAAAGAGTTACACTATACATGCAATATTCCATCCCATTTTTATGACCTAAAATTATAAACATTTCCCTGTGTTTTTGCAGTCTTCATAATTAGCACTTAGAGCAGCTCAATCATATCTTATCGAATTAATTATGTCCTAAATGTTGGTCATTTAGGTTGAGATGCGAGACAGTTCTGTTACTTCATTAAAGTGATTCACACTGAGGTGAGTATTTTACTACATGGGTAGTTATATTTAACAGAATGTATTCAATCACATTGCTGAGCTTTTAAAGAAATCAGTCTTCCCTAACTACCTGGTCTTAGTTAAAAACCTAATAAAAACTTCCTAACAGGTACTTTGGCCCTGGGGAGATAGTGTCACTGTAACACAGTGCTAACCTAGAGGTGTGCATAG